GGTGTTGCAATCCCGCCATCAGCGGCACTGCTGCCCTCAGCGTTGTCGTTGCCATGACAGCCACAGTGCTATGCAGACATCTCAGCTGCCATGGCTGGGTGCTGTGGGGAGATGAGGGGGCGCCGCCGCCTCGTTCCCGTCCTTGCTGCATCACCTTGGGGATGTGAGAAGAGACGGCCCCACTGTGGCTGCACTCTGCCTGCTCCAACTCCAGCACGGCCGAGCCCCCGGAAAGCCCCTCTCCCCCCTTGCGTTGTTGTGTGGCAACAAGGAGCCTTCCGTCTCTCGGCCGATGTCCACACCACCCCGGGCCTGCCTCAGGCTCGGCACCAGCCAGCCCTGCTCCACCTGGCCCCACGCCCACCGCTCCTGCAGTCCGCCCAGGCAGCTGGCTGGTGCTCACTGCCACAGCCCACTGCCTTAGTTCTGCCACCCCGTTTCACTAGGGATGAGGGAGGGCTTTCTGTAACTTTTCTTTTCTTCCCACAGAGTCAATTGCTCTAAAATTGTACTGTTTTTATCTTTGCCCTCTCTTGGAAAGGATATGTGAAAGGAGCCGTGGTGCTCTTCCTTGGACGCTCTCTGTATGCTCCCTTTCTTCCTCTTCACATGCGGTTTACCTCAACCACTTCCGCAGGGCATGCCATTCGCTTTTATTCGGCATGGCAGCAGGTCCACTCCAGGTCATGGCCCCGGCTTACATCCACACCCGCTGTTTGGGCCTCTCGTGAACGCCGGGGTCTTCTCTCTGTGCTCCAGCAGGCTCCCGCAGCCAAACAGCGATGCCAAAATCCTTTTTTCTTCCATTGTGAATGGCACAATTTGGAATCCTGGAGTCTTCCCGCTATGTTCACTTGATCCTCGTTCACAAAAGAGTGAATTTAGGATCCCAGTCTCCATCACTATAAAGCAATGTGGACCTGATTTTCGTCGCGACTCAAACTCAGCTCCTCGTTACCCTAAAAGTAATTTAGGAGCTTTTGGAGCATGCTGAGTCCCTGTTCGGGCGCCACTTGCACTCAGGGTCCTCATAAAACAGGAAAGCTGGACAGGACAGAACGCACGTCAAACCAATATGATTAATGCAACATTCTCCATTTATTCATGAGAAGATGGCAGTTTATATACACTTCTACATAGTTTATAGTTTACAAAGGCACTTCCATTGGCAAGCTAACATTGTTTACCTTTGCCTTAAGGTGGTCAGGCTTTTCACACTGCAGCTGTACCCTAATTCACACTCAGATAGCTCATTACTTTGTCATTACCTTAACATAATTTCTAACTGCTCCACAACTAATTTCTTACTACATCAAAGGTTCCTAGGCCCCACCAAGGTCGCTTATCAGGGGCCTAGTCTGAGGGGTAGCTCAATTCTCACTCCAGACATAAATCATGCCCTCTCTCAGAAATTCTGCAACAGAAATCTCCACGTGTTTTGCAAAAAAACTACAAAATGTGCTTTCATTATTCATAATCATGAACCCAAGAGAGTCTGCTGTGATCACTTGGCATGACACAGGCTAGGGATACAGTTCCAAAAAACTCCAGAATTACTGAGCAAGAGCATTGCTTTTAGAAAAGCATCCACTTCCCTTGTAAAAATTTCTACTGCAAGAGATTTTACCATAACTCTTGAAAAGCTATTCCAAAAATTAAAATATCAGTGTTTGAATTTGCCTGATTTTTTTAACAGACACCAAATCTTACCTTTGTCAATTTCAAGAGCTTCTGTCACTGCATTTCTGCCCCCATAGGTACACTGAGACTCTCAAGGGACTGAGCCTTCTCCTGGCCATTAGAGACAGGTTGAGCTCCTCAGGGCATTCACAAGAAATTTCATTTTTTGGTCAGCCTTTCAGACATGGTTGTGTTGTTTACTTTGTGGCAAGCTTATTTACTTAAGCATATTCCATATATCTCTGACACCAGAATGGGATACTGTTCCAACAAGATGATACCAGTATGACAAACAGATGAGTTATAGCATCTCTGCCTTTGCTTGTCTGTATTCCTGAAGTTGCTCTACCTCCTTTTTGATTAAACCTTTTATTAGCAGCTCTTGCTCAGGTCCCACACCTCCTCCTGTGTCTCCTTTGCTGTAGCAGAGTCACATCTTCTTTTGTCTCTTCTTCATTCCAAGACATGCAATATTTCATCAGGCCATATCAGAAGAGATTCTTCATGTCTGGCTTACTGAGCACAGCAGAGCCCTCTCTGCATGTCCCCTTCATTTAATTTGTTCTACTTCAGCTAGTGTAGCTGATTCACACTACCACCATATTTTCTTTAACCACGTTACACAAAACAAACATACACCTTTTGCAAGAATGGACAGTGGGGATCCTTTGAGATTAAACCTACAATCATCAATTTCTGATGAAAAAAATGAAGTGTACATGGAGTAGTATGGAGAATGTTTATTTTTCCTTTCTCGGCAGAAGAAAAGCCTAATGACATATTCTTAGGGGTCAGCATACCTTGGCTGGTGAATTTCTGTGTTCTTTCTATGGCTTTGTAAGTGAGTAGCATAGAATCACCAGGGTTTTGAAATGCAAAGTAAGGTTTTTCCCTTTACATTTCAACTCCTTCAGATTCTGAGGAACTCAGCTGGTGAGTTTTATGCCTGACAAAGGCAGGATGGACAAAGCAGCTGACTACCAATGCTTTAAAATCCCAGCCTGAGAAGATCTCACCCCACTAAAAATCTGTAATAAATATAATCCATGCCAAGACTTGGAGAAATTCATTCTTAATCCAATCTGACATTAAAAGACAGTAAAATATTTGTCTGTAGATTCTCGGATTCACCTCATACCACTTTTAACAGCCGATCAGTATTTTTTGGTGAAGTTGTTATCCTTTTTACGAAAAGAAAAAATAATTTTTTTGAATGGGAAGGAACAAGCAGTGCAACCAGAACTTCAAAAAAGTGTAAATGATCCAAAATCACACCTGCACCTCAATGCTCAGAGAGGATAAATAGCCAGATACACACACATGGCCACACAAACTCCTTTTTTCTTTGATGCCCCTGTTATAAATAGCTGACCAAGGGCTGTCTTGCTTACATTTATGAAATAAATATGTGAAATGAGAGCCCATGGCACATGTATTACTGACTAGTGTTTTCCTGTTGTGTTTACTGAAACTACAAGGCACAAAATAACAATAAAGCAATAAAATCCAGGTTGTAATACAAGCTTGAACAGCATATTGATGCTGGTAGGATTGTATTTTTCTGCACTTATTTTATTAAGATATATCTGCAAGCGCCAGCTTAGTCACTGATTTCACAGAAAACTTGTGAAAACTGGCTGACTCCACATGTTTATCTATCAAAGAGCTCTTTACAGAAGTGACATCTCCAACATCTCTATTGCTCTCCAGCCACATCTCCAGTTCCCACACCAGTCTCCTTTTTCACCATTTTTCAGCAAATTCAACACCTCCCCTCTCCCAATCCTGCTTCTATCCACACTGTAAGGCAGATTAGAGAGAAACACACTGAACCAAAAAGAGCCCTGCTCACAAACCAACCAAATTCTGTTCCCCAGTCCAGGCCAAAGTGTTTACAAATTTGCTTTTTCTAATACATTGGTTTTTTGCTCACTCTCTTTGCTCTTTTGCCATGGTGAGGAAGTAACATCCTCACATTTGGAGGAAAACTAAGAGCAGGTACCTCTTTGGTGCCATTGTTGCAAAGACACATGGAGGAGACTGGATTCTGCACAGAAGTGGTCTGCCTTATTGGTCCCCGTCCATCCCACACTGTCAAGCCGTGAAGCAAGCAGTGTTCTCTCTTTATGTCTGCAACATGCTCGGGGTGAGCAGGCACAGGGCTCTCACAGCCACCACAAGAGGATAACTGGCAGTGTGGCCAAGCCCAAGGCAATGCCTGTGGCCAGCAGCCTCTGGACCAGCATCTCCTGTGCTGCTGGAGCCCCTGCTGGCTGCCCTGCTCTGGGATCTCTAGAGCAGAGCCATGAGACACAGTACAGACACATCATCTGGGCCTCTGCTGCTCCTCAGGTTTGTGCAGCAAGCACTGCTCTGTCTGGCTGCCTGCTGATGCTGTCTGCTCCAACAGAGGTTCTCCTCCTTTCCTCTGTCCCAAATACACAGCTCTCACAAACCCTGCTAACATCATTCCTCTGCACAAGGACCTCCATTTGCAGAGTCCATGGACTCAGAGTGGCACACTTTTCAAGTGTTTATTTCATCAAGGACTGTAGTCACGTGCTCTATTCTAGGGCAATGAAGATGTTCAGTTTACTTGTCACCTTGTCCTCCTTCACCCCACTGCCCATATTCTGCTCTTCCTCAGCCCTTTCTCACCACCTTCAGCTACCTTCAGATACCTTTTGTAGGTATCCAGCTTCTTCCCACAAAAAAGCTGATGTGCAGATTGCTCTCTCTGCCTGTGCAGAGCAAACATATCTCACATCAGACCTTACTGCAACCAGCAAAGGCTCTGGAGAGACCCAAGTCTTAAGGCTCCTCCACAAGACCCAACTCTGACAAAGACAAGTCCAGGCTGCAATTGCAATTCAGGATGGAGAGAAAAAGAATTGAGTGATCACTATAGTTGCACATCTTGTAGCCTGAGACAATGGGCTGATTTTCAGATATGATGATATAAGAATTAAAATAATATTATACTAATATTTATTAGATTATATATTATAGGCATTGCATATTATATTAATGGCAGGTTATGTATTGGGCTATGGAAATTAATTGGTTGTTCCTTGTTTTTTCCCTACCATAGCTTTGGAAAAAACCCAAACAGTGTATGTTGTGTAGAAAATGGTCCCATTGAGACCATTTCCAAATATTATCTCCATTTGTGGTGAGACAGAATTTTCAGGATGATTTCTTCTATGCTATTTTGAACACACATCAGTTTATGTTAATACTCACTAACCACTATTGAAAATTTTCTTTGAGGAATACGGAGATAGAAATACTACATAAAAAAAAGATCAGTCATCAGTCACCAGGTTCACATGCAATGTTTTAATGACTAATTTTTAATTTGTTTTACATTAAAATCAAAGTGGGATAAATCAAAGGGCTAAGGATTCTAAATTAAGTCAGTGTGTTCTGACCATTCTAGTATAACTTAAGGTTGAGCTCCTGAGTAAGTGGAGCAGAAATCCGCAAAACCAGCTTCTGTGGAAAAAAGAGACACAAAATAATGAATTATGTTAATGTAAAAAAAAACAACAAACCAGTTCAAAACAGAGGTTAAGAAGTGAAACTAGAGTTTAGACCTTCATGCTTTCTTTAACATATCTGGTAGGTGAGACTAACTTGATGCCAGTATGCATCTTCCTACTGCTGCATCCAATCCAACAGCCCTTTTAGAAATTCAGGAATGGTTTAAAATTAATTAATTACATGAATCAAATATTAAATTGTAAATGCAATATCTGTCCTGCTCTCTTCCTGGTCAGTGTTAAATTTTATGTATTTTGGGCTACTCACATAATTTCCATTTTCAGTACTTCACCAGTTTTATCTTTAGGTTCCAGAATTAATAATCTCTTAAAATGCCCAATATCCATTCACACCTATTTGCTAGCCCACAAATTCACGTTAACATTAACAGTCTGTGCTTACTTAAATCACTTCTTCAAGGTATCTAATATTCTCATCTTTCATCAGAAACAGTTCTGTACCACTGCTTAGGGAGCTGGACTTCCACTTCTTGAATAATTTGCCTTTTCTTCAAATATAGGGAAAAATCCAGACAAAAGTACTGCAAAATCATCCAAACACCAACCTGAAAATTGCCAGGCAGCCAGAGAGGCTACTCCCGACTGCAATCCTGCATGGACACTGGGAGTTGTGGATGCTGGGAACCTCTGCACTTCCCAGCAGAGGATGCAAGTGTGATAAAAATAACCTTCCCTATGCCCATTGTCAGCACAAGCCTGGCCAAGATGTACCCTTCTAACATCCCTGCTGCAGTCACAGTACAATTCCTTAGGGCATGAGACTCCAGAGAAAAAAATAGATACCAGACTCCTAATAATAGGAAGATTCTGTGATATTGCAAATGTCAGATCAGGGTAGTGCTGCATGAATCAGAGAGAAAGAAGTGGCTTATTACTAAGCAACCTGTTTCTATTTATATACAAATAAATATGGCTCAATAAGCACTTCAGCACTGTTATTAGGTATATTTGCTTTCTGGAAACCAAAACCAATATGGGAGAAGTCACTTTCTACTGCAGCCCTTTAAACAGTGGGGTCTCTGCTTATAAAACTATTATACAAAATGTAAACTCACTAAGCCTGTAAGAAAGTGGCAAATTTTCCCTTTGCATTTTTTTAAATTACATTAATAAGTTTTCAAGACCAAAACCCAAGCTGCTGCTACTGCTCTTTTTTATTTTATTGATTTTTTATTAGAGGGTCAAACATGAGAGGAATATAGGTAGTGACTTTGTAACATATGCACAGGGATGGTTGGAGAAGTTTGACTAAAGCTCTCAGCATTTTGAGAGGAATATATTTCTCTGGTGTAGAAAATTTAACTTTTTTGTAGTTTTGGATCCCTACAGCATCAGCTTGGTGGGTTTTATCCTCCAGCATTTGAAGTAGATCTTAAGTCACCAAGATAATATTCTGCTCTTAAATCCAATTTTAAATTATATTTTTGAGACAAGCTTATTAGTCTTTTAAATCGCCTTTGTATGTGAGGCTGTTAGTCTGCAGTTATCTTCTGGATTTCTGTAATTGGTACCTTCAAGCACATCTCAGTGGAATGTTTTCTTTGCCCTGCCACATTTATGTTGCTTTGAGCTTGCTTAGAGGCTGTTAAACAATTTCTTCCCTTGAGGCAGTACTGATTATGTTTATTTATGACATTGTCTCTGAAAGTGGGATTTTTACAATTCTCCAAGGCAGAAATTTATTCTCAGCAATTTTCTTCCTTTACAGATTCCTTCAATAAAATAAATGGTAGTACCAGATATGTTTAATGGGGATCATTCTTTGGTTACAAATGAAACTTAGACACTAAGCCAGGTCAGAAAGGTAACATAAGGTGTGACATCCCCTACTTGTTGCCTCATCTATCTTCCACTGCATGATGATTTAGTGACGTTTTGCAGTGTTAACACCAGGAGTGCTCTAGATGCAACCAATGCTGAGATATGAGTACATATCTCATACAGAGTGTGAATGATCATTTCAGCTTGATGGTGACAGATATGGAACAAGTGGCCAGAGGAAAGGAAGCAAAAGGTTATGCTCCTTTTGTCTATACTCCTATGCAAAAGAAAATTGGGACCACAGAGGCTGCTGCTGCTGCTTAGGGTTTATTAGTGGCTTTCAGGCCATCCCCTCTGGAATGTCCTCACACTGGTGCCAGAGGAGCACTGCACAAGCAACTCGTGCATTTTGTTCTGGAACACTGAGGCTTGGCACTTTAAGATGCTAAAATTATACCTTTTTGGAAGATGGGGAGATGCTCCTTAGAGCCAATGACACTGGAATAAGTTTTGGACACCAAGTAATTGTGAGAAAAAAATCCACAACACTTCAGCAGCAGATAAAAAACTTTGACAAGTTTTCTCATTTTATCAGAATGATAAGAACACCCATAAAACTGCTAACTGTGCTCTCAGCTCATAGACCTGTATCTTATTTCCAGTATTTCAGTAGTTTAAAAATTTGTGTAAGTGGCAGACATTAAGTAAAAGAGAGTCCATATGCAAAAGCAAAGATTAAAGTTTCCTAAAAGAGCTCTTGCTTTTGCCTTTTTTTTTTTTTTTTCCTCCCTCCTAAATGTCAGACTGTTGTATCAAGAATGGGTGTCTGGTTATACTTCAAAATGTAAAGGAGTGTGGATGAGAAACAGTTCCTGTCCTTCACTGGCTTCACCTCTCTTCACGGTTCTTACCCTTCTTTCCCTAAGTTTTTTCTTAAACTCTCAGTTCAGGTCTTACCCCACTGATCTCATAAGACACAGCATCTCCACGGATGGATCTTCCATTCAGAGACACAGCTTGAGGTCTCCGTTTCAGGCCAAGAATGGTAATTTTGTTGTACTTCAGAGTTTCAGCTCCAGGGTAGCCATTTTTAACTATTTCTGTCTTCAGGCTTCTCTGGAAAAATACACA